TGAGCTATCTCAGCACTGCAACTCATAAGTTCATGTACTGTAGCAGGCCACCTGCCTGCGTCTCGGCCGCATCTGGGCAAGAGAAATCATTACTTGACCGAAACTGGCATGAACGGATGTTTCAGCGAGCACTAGGGTCAATTGGAAGAAAGTCCACAGCAACAAAAAAGACCTGCTGAGAAGTTTCGGAACGGAATTGCTCAGCAGGAACTTTTATCCTTTGCACGTATCCTGTGCAGCCTGTAAGGCTGACGTGTGATATGGAGTGGTCTTCACATCAGCTCTGCTCCAAGAGCTGGGCCAGCAGGTGAACTGGCGTGAACTCTCTGAAGGAGTAAAGTCTCGGGCACGCGCTCCTGTCGTTCTCAAATTTGCCGTCTCAGATCAATGTTTAGTATTTTCTATGAACTCACAAGCTTCAACATTATGACAGGTTTATGTGGTTTACAGGCTCAGTGTTAAAGCGCCAAAGAAAGACATCTGCCAGCAAGCAGGAAACCGTTCAGTCTCAGGAGCCTGGAGATGAGCCTAGACCATGTATTGCGTACATAGCCAAGTTGCTCAGATGAGTCGTGCAATTGGAATTAAGAGAACTGAAAAAACCGAACGGGAGTCATGACATTATCACATCGGGTCGGGGCAGGCGGAGCAGTCCAGACCGTGCGAATCTTTTGATGCTCAAGGTTGCAGATGTCCATAGATGACTATGCCCGCTGAATCTCAAGCCTAGCAGAAGAACAGAGGGAAGTCAAGGCTCGACATGTTTCTCCGGTCCTGCAAGCACATGCTCACGACTTGGCCTAGGCTGAAAGCTAGCGTGAACTAGTCGGCACCTGCTCGTCGAATACTCAGTATCTTCCAACACTTGCCGGGCCCTTGCTTCCTTCTCATTTAACCTCACCCCTACAGAATCCTGCAGTAGTGCATTGCAAACCGACTGTCCACCCATGCATCACCTAGTCCATTGCCAGATCTTAGTTCGGAAGCGGTCGGCTCTAGTGCTACGGGTACCAGGAACTTGGCAGACAGGAACAAAGCCTTGTGTGCTGTCTCGCGGAGCCTCACTACCAGGAGCCTCAAAACATACGGTCCATACTCAAAGACCCGGGCAGTTGTCGCCCATCATTCGGGGAGGCGGCGCCCTGGAGCAAGCATCAATGGAAGCTATGCAGGAAATGGACTGCTGAAATTTGCCTGCCTCCGTTCGCCATCACTCCACCGAGAAGTGGCCCCTGCTCCTGTACGGCCACCTAGTCATGGAACAGAGCATGCTGAGCCTGCATTACACAATCTTCCTGATGCTGCCTGTTCTGAGCAAGTCTTTCCCGAACCGCCGTTTCGGATTTCGTGGCATGCAAGAATACTTGTACACAAAAAAGCTCACATGAACATGGCGACTCTCCTCTCTCGCTCTCTCCGCTTGTTTTAGCTGTGGCTGTCCAATCTACTACTGTTAGCATCGCCACACCCTGGGCAACAGAAACTTGGCAATTGATCGGCGCGATCTTGGATTTGAGGAGCGCCACTTCTCAAATTCCAAGTGACTGCCAAATTACCTATCAAACCACCGGGTTTGCACCTGGCCGAGTGCTTGTTCGAATAGAATTGTATTTCCAGTGACTAAGGTGAGTCTTCCAGTGGCTCATGCCTTGCCCCGGAACTAAACTCCAAAGCACCCTCACAGTGCCATCCCTACGTACTGACTCATCGAGTTGCAGCTAGCGCTCAGGGCCCAAAGGTTTGCCCAGCCACCAGCCTCCACAACTATCAGGAGACACTCGGCCGTCCAACCTGAACATGGGCGTCCATGTTCAAGAGATTTCAAGAGTGGGTGTGCTTGTGTGTATGTGACCTTGCAACAACCTTGAGGGTCGGAACGTCCAAAACGCGCCTGTCAATTTGCAAGTGCGTTGCCGGGGAGCTCTGTAGATGAGCAAGTGCTCTTTTCAGAAATCTCCTAACTTACGCTTCATGCGAGCAGCTGACTTACTTGATGCTTACAGATCAATTCCTGCAAAGTACACCTAAGCTTGACTTGCCTAAATCAGCATCACTGCATTCTGCTTGAAACTTGGAACACACCAGCTTCAGCTTCAGACCTTGCTCCGGAACAGCCCCGAAACACTCTGAAGTCGTATCTTGAGCTGGCACCCTAACTTCAGCAACTTTCATGTGCAGCTGAGGAAAGCACAGCGCTGGTACTGGCGTTGATGGCCTAGGCTCAGGGTGAACAAATTTCCAGGCCTGCTCAAATTGGATCACCCCTCCCCACCCCCGCTGTATTTGCCAGCGAGGCCACGTGGCGGGTCTCGTTGAGGGGGTCGTGGACCGGGCAGAGCCTTGGAGATCCCAAAGCAAATACCGAGGTTCAATCAAGGTCTCTTTGCGAGAAACAAGCTTCTGGAACAAGGACTCCTGCTTCGCAACAATGACATGACTCGGCGCTTGCGTGCAAATGTGTAAGTGCCTGCGGGAATTCATACACAATATGACTCGACCGGCGCACACACTGAATTTGTACTTTTTGAATCTCCACAGCAAGCCTGGCAGCTCCAGGGTAAACTCTGGATAAGCTGCCATCTAGGTGCAGTAAGTCTTCGTGCGTAAGTTGGGTGACCTCATACTCCGGTTTGCATCTGCAGGAACAGCGGTGCAGCCTGATGGCGACTTCCAAGGCTTGCTTTGACCCAACTTTGGCCTCAACGCGACAAGGCCTCTTCGAACACATGCTTTCGCCTTGGGCACTTCGGCACAAGCCGATTCATAGATGAGACATAGTGCCGGCGCCTTAACCGGCTCAAATCTATACACTTCTCAATATGGCGTCACAATCTGGGTATGATGGTTCATGTGCTGCTGGTTGTAGATTCCGAACCATCCTCAGCCAAATCCCACAGCTTCCCACAGCACTACTTTGGCTCACAGCGCCCCATCATCTGCATTTTATCGAGCGGCCAGGATCATCCCAGGCCTCAGGAGCCAGCTTCTTAGCCTTCTTGTTACTGCATCGCTACCTTTGCTCCTTCTTTTTCACAGAAAAGACCGAAATTACTCGTCCATTCTGCCCAGCGAAGGCACAAAAGTTGCGACAACTAGCTCTGATGAAGTCTCAAATACTCGCACATGAAGATGAATGATCAGTCAGGACAGCTCGAGAAAGGCGAATACTGATGCGGTCCAAAGTGCGGTCCAAAGAGCTATTCACATACCTAGCTAGGGGGCATTGGGCTCCTGCAGGGCTTTCATTGCAGAATCTTTGCCATCTGGATCTTTTGCTTTACCCATGCCCTCAAGGTAGCGAAGGCAAGAATCCCAATGCAATTAAGCCACGGCCACAGCAAAGCCACACTCTCGGAAGTGGCCGCCCCTTACTTGCATGATCTTACATGTAGTAACCGCCAAGCGGGCGCGAAAGACCAGTAGCAAATTGGCTCCGCAGCAATTCCGCATGCTGTCTTCCAAGGCACACAAACCGGTAGTATTCCCGGACTTTGTCGTTGTCCCTGTCCCACTGCCTATCCATCTGGCGACCAACACCTCAGCGCAAGAGGTCAACTGCAGCGACCAATGCCTCCCATCAGCTCGATTAATTATGCCTTACCTTCAATGACCTCGTATTCCTTGTATTTCCTTGTGCCGTCGAGCAGTTCTGTTAGCAGGACATGTTGCTTCAACGCTTAGGGCTCTGCCATACTCTCCCACGTACAGCGGAATGTGCGAGTCCTTGCACTAAGGCTGGCTGCAAGTCCAATGTGGCAAGGGGCTCTCATGGTGGAAGCTTAAAACCCGGTTGACACGTCGAACGCCATATAACAAGCCTACAAAGCTTAAGCCCTTCCCATTGCAAATAAACGCTTCACCTGCTGTCCAACGTAAGTGTCAGTGTTAGTTGGAATACTCGCCAAGTTGGACGGGGGTTTCGAGACTCCAACCAAAAATACAATCTAAATCCTTATTATGGGGACCCCCAAAATGGTACCCCTAATTTTGGGAAGCCCTAAACCCTATATAACCCCTATAATCCGGACTGGAGACTGCAGCTTGCAAGCTCAGCGGACCAAAGTCCGGCTAACAGATACTATGGTAAATTATGGTATATTATGGTATATTATGTTATTTTATGATATATTACAGGAAATATACTATGGTATATTATGGGATATCATGGCAAAATGAATCCAAGTTGGCATAAGCTGCATGCACGACGTCTACAATGCCAGCAAGAAGCGAACGCCCAATCCCGGAGGTCTTTGAATCTGAACAGAAGATCTGTCAGGGAACATAGCTTGAGCGTGGGACATAAGCTTTGACACACGAACTTGGTTGGATATGACATGCTTCATCAGCTACCTTGTCCTAAGCCCGCCTTTCTTCAAGGCCTCAACGCTTGCGTAGTAGTCTGAATGGCCGTTCTCACCACAGAAGTCATAGGGATCCTCATCAACACTGCCATCTTCATCCCGCCCATTTCTCCACTTTTGCAGCTTCTTCAATTAGAGGCTCGCAAGCGTAATGGTGCCCATAAGAAGATATGAGAAGAAGATCGGCAAAGCCGCAAAGATAGGCGAAGGGATAACATGTTCAAACGACTTCACGGTGCCATTGTGATCCTATACTTGTCCTTGCACTCGTTTCTTGCAGAGTGCCATGGGGGCATATAACCAAGGCTTGGCAATCCTGAAGCAACCCTCCTGCAGCTCCACTCCCACGCAAGAGGGCAGCACGGACAGGCCAAAATGACTTGCAGCCACAACCTCTTCGCCCATATTGTGCGTAACTCCCCTGACCTATATCCCTTTAGCTTCAATGCAGATAGGTGGCATAGGTATGGACTGTGACGCCCACACAGGCCTCAGCAAAGGTTTTGTCAGCGCGGAAGTGACGGCTGATCGGACTTCAATCTGCTTCAATCAGGCTAGTAGACTAGGCTGCTGGACTGCCCAGCGATTGTCTGCCTTTATCACAGCACGCCATGCAAATTGGCAGCACAATCGAGGAGCATCGTTGCCCCCTCCCGGCAGATTCCATTTCGTAGGATAGATTGTCTTGGCTGTGCCTGCAGGCTGCGGAAACAGATAGCGCTTCCATATGCGCATGTCCTTCTTTTAAGGGCGAAGTTTCTCTCTGACTCGCACACACTGGCCTATGCTCGACATGGCGTTGGAGTGCAGAAAGATCATTCGATCCTGTCTCAGGGCAGGTTGGAGCATGAGAGCTGACATCTGCATAAGGAATAGGAGCCATGTTTTACAAGCTTCAGATTCAGCAGCTTCTTCAAGTGAGCTTCATGCTTCAAGACTTCCAAGGGTACAGAAACTGCTGCAGGGGGAATGGCTGAGACTACAAAATGTACAGACCTCGTGGCAAGATACCCTCTTGCTCCTACTCCTGTCTTCAGCAACTCCGGGCTTCATTTCCGCGGTGAAAACGCTAAATTTCATGAACACGTGTTTGCTTCGTCACGCACTGTACTGGAACAGGGCCAGTTTTGCTGGACTGCACTGTGCTAGGCTACAGCTTGTGTTGCGCACATCTCAACAGATGTCGGAGCTTCGCAAGCCTACGCGAATTGCTAGGAAAGCCAGCATCAAAACAAGTTGCCAGAGTTCACCTACAGAAGCTATGATGTCCCAAGTCCGCAGGCACCACCGATGTAAGATTGCAAAGGTAGACACCATCCTGGCCTCGTTGCCAGGCACAGCGCGCACCGAGCCATAGCCCACACCGTTGATCTCCCGCGTGCGATCGACTGCAACCCTGCGGCGAACGGCTGTGGTACCCTATGGCTCCAGTGGAGCACTCATCTTCTGGTTGTTACTGAGCTTCATTCTTAGAATGGTGACCTCTGCTATCAGCAAGTAAGGAGGATGGCTCGGGGCTCAACTTAATGTTACAAACCTGCCGAGCTCCGCTTGGGAGCTCGTATCCCAGGCGAGTTCATTAAGGCAAGTCAAGTGAACTCAACCCAAGGAAGTAAGTTCTCACCCTTGCAGCCAGCTTGCTGGTCGAAAGGCTGCGGGTTTTCACCCCAGCTGCCGAAGGCTTTGTCGGGCTCCTCAGCTTGCCGTTGGCCTTTGTAGCATCTGCCCCTGTGGCTTACGCACCATGTTCCTATCGAATAGTTGTCTACTTGTCAAGCTGAGGTGGTAATCTCAACTCTTCCCTAACAGCCCAGGTGCATTGAGGATCTCGAAGGTGAGCTTTTCTCAGCCGCGGCAGAAGCTTAAAAGAGTGGAGTTGGGCGGCTGTGGGGGCAACTTTTGACGTGGCTTGCTACTGTCAAAGAAGTCATCTGCATACAATTCTTTATGGCACATCCCACTGCTACAGAAGCATTTTCGCAATGCTGCTTATGATATGCTAGCCCACATCCACAAAGATCTAGGTCTGAGGTCCAGGTCGGGCGAAATCAGAAACAGCTTGCAGCCGAAGCAGCTGGACTTGTCTGCGAAGTGGCCTGCGATGCCCTGCCTCAGGCATGCTCAGATTGACACATGAGCCCCTCCTTCTCCTTGCAAATTAAGCAGTGATACTTGCATTGCAATGGTTATGGTGCTTCGCTGCCGCCGCTGCTGTTGCTTCTGCCGTCGCTACTGCTGTTGCTGGTGGTGCAGAAGGCGGTGTCGTTGTGGTCATCATGCTCGTCCTCTTCACCGTGCTCGCCCTCGTCATTGTGTTCGTCCTAGAGGTCGAAAGAACGTGGTCGTCGTGGTCGTGGTCGTGGTCGTGGTCGTGGTCGTGGTCGTGGTCGTGGTCGTGGTCGTGGTCGTGGTCGTCGTCGTCTTCGTCGTACTTGTCCTGGCCGTCGTGCTCCTTCTCGTCATCGTCGTCCTTATCGACGTCCTCGTCATCACTCATTGTGCTCGTCATGCTCGTCGTCCAGGTCGTGCTCGTCATCCTCCTCGTATAGTCGTTCTCCTCTCCTCTTGGTCTTTGTATCAATCGAACTCACAACAATGCCGCAGCAGCAGCAGCAGCAGCAGCAGCTTCAGCTTCGCAAGAAGGCCCTATCCAGAGCAGCAGCAGCAGCGGCGGCGGCGGCAGCGGCAGCGGCAGCAGCAGCGGCAGCGGCAGCGACAACAATAACGACGACCAGGAAACCTCAGTTACTTACGGTGGAGGCTAGTTACGACAAGCCGCGTGGTGTCACGCCTCTCGTGCACGTGCGCAAAAAACCTAATGCAGATATTCACGAAACTAGCGGCTAGACAGGAATCCCCAAGCACCGCGCCTGTGCAATGACTTCACACAATGCAGAACAGAACCCTGGTCTAAGTACCTGCTGCATGTACTAGCACAAATGAGAATGGAGCGGCAGCAGAAGTGATCGCAATCGAGTTATGAGCAGAGGCAATAGCAGCCACTCCTAGACCTCCCACTCTCTTTTCCTGCCTCTTTTCCTGCTACTCCTACTACAACACCAACACAGCCATGTGTGTAATGCAGAGGTAATGATCAGTCTATCGTTCAAAGCAGCAGCTCGAGAAGTGCTGCAAGCAGTAATGGCGACACAGTATTCTCATGGGTTACGGCCCATCATATCCCACAGTCAAGGCGCCACAGGCCCCAAAATTGGTCATTGAAATGCCTCAGTTGAACTGTTCACCTGAAATATGTAGTTCAACAGCGTGGAATTCCGTACAACTGCCTGTGCCAGGACCTATGCTATCAAAGCAGCATTTGCAATCCTGACCGGCATATGAATGAGCTAGCACAGGAACAGGCACTGCTTCTCCACAAGCAACTTGTTGCGGAACTCTATCTGGAAGCTAAACCGAATGACGAGCCATTGGTTCTTGCTGCTGCTTCCGGGACCGGCAATGGAACAGGTGACATGCAACATCGTGCTGCTCATAACTCATCAGTCAATGAAGCCTTACTAGTCTCACAAGTAAGCTTACAAGAATATAGCTGGCACTAGGCCAGCGTAGCTGTAGTCTTGGGCCTGTTGCTAAGGTGGAACGTTCCCAGCCAAGATGCTGGCTTCCATCGTAGTGGTCCTTGAGCCAGTGTTCATGATGTGTGTTGATCACCACCTGGCATTGCGCTCAGCGGATGTGCTTCCGACACATTAAACCTATAAAAGCCTGAGTCATGCAACGTTGAAGTAAAGGCTATCAGCTATGACCCATGGTAGCAAAAAGAACAGGTTGAGGTGAAGCTTCTCCCAAAACATCCAGAAACATCATAGAACAGCATTGGCTGTCCTGCAACCTTCTCCGGAAACATCTGCTCCAGCCATAGGCGAGGCAGACAACACCCGTAGCTGCAACGATTTTAGGCCAAGCCACATACAGGTCAAGGCCGAGCGCATAGTCCACCACTTCAGTGACTTGCTTCGTCAGCAAGGAGTTGGCGTCGAAGTCTGAAATGGAAGTTGCTTCAGCTAAACCATCAACACTGACTTCGGGCATGTCGTGATGCAGTGGCACAGAAATGCAGTCTGTACCTGAATCTCTCAATGCATCTGAAGCAGAAGTGTAACCACTGGGTCTCCAGCGTCCATCCCATGTCACAGGGATGCGCACGTGCTGGAATCCTATTCACAGAGCTGTGGCTTGGCCAGATTCACTATGAACTGCCTTCTCGGAAAGTTCTAGCCAGATTTTTAAAGAGGACAGAACGACATGTAGTGCAGAACTAAAAGGTAAGGTCGGAACTCTCAAGGTCAATCACATCTCTGCAATCCACCCTGAACTTCCCTCTTGCAAAAGCATGGTAGCAGCACAGTCCACTGGCAACCAACCAACAACGGACTAAAACTGGCTTACTCGTGTGCTCGAAAGCCTGTGACTTGGGACTGGCTCTTGCGGGTCCTGTGTCTTTGGCCCACTTGATGTGGGGTTTGACAACCTCTGGATTACGGTCGCCCTGATTGAAGTCGAACACGTTTCCGAGGTTGATCCTGAGCTTAAGCGACTTCACACCCTCAGTGCCTGCATGATGGCTAGATGTTCTAGAGCAGCATTGCTAAATCTGGACTTAAGCCCCTCATGACTTATGCTGTCGGAGCATCCCACGGCCCATTGCGTCAATAATTCCTCAGATGGCAGAGGAGCAGTTTCTGGGTTAGGCATGTCCACACGTAAATCTGCGCAGCTTACCCAAGATTGAATACCGCCGGACCGACAGATGCGCAAGACAACAGGAGAGAAGCCTGCCTGGCACCTCAACCAAAATCCTTTTTGGCCAAGCGGCCTGTGCAGTCACCCGACCGGGCATGGCTCTGCACAATGGCATCGCGCTGAATGGAGACTACCTGTCAGACCGAATGGAAAGCAACAACAGGGGGGCACTGCCCCAGTTCACAGCCTTTTCGTGTCTGCCGGTTGAGTTCTGCTTCCTTGGTTGCGGACATGCTCAAAAACCTGTACATCCGATGCCGCTGAAACTCACGCGAGCGGAACTGAGAGGTCGCTGAAAGGGCTAGTCGCTCCTGGGTGGTACGGCCGCTCTCACCAGCATCGGCCTTGACAGATTCACGCTACAAGCTGAAGCAACAGACAACCTGCAAAATGGGCAGCCCTGGCACTGGCTTCAAGCTGACACTACAAGGAAGCCCCGGGATGCACTGGGCAATATGAACTTCATGCATTTGATAATTTTGACGAGCAGCTTTGGCGGCCTGTGTCCTCAGCTTAGCTCTGTGCCGCGTGATGGCTTCCCTCACCAGAGACAACCCTGGAAGACAACTCAGCAGACCAGCAACGACACTGCTCCTCCTCTCGTCACCTTTCCAAGCCGATCACCCTACAGACTTGGCTCGCTGCATAAGGGGTCCTAGACACATGCCAGTTTCAGGAGCATGCTTCCAGGCTCCGACTCAGCAACGCCTACCCATAGTTAATCCATGTCAATACCGAGCGTCTGGATGAGCGACCCCACATCACTTGCGTCTGCTGCCTGGGGGTCCGAAGCAAAGCCAGGGGCAGCAGAGAGCCGAATCGACCGAATCTGCAACTTCGGGAAACCACACCCGCCAGGTTAAAAACAGGCATCAACACCAAATCGCCCGGACCGAATGCCAAATGCAAAGGCCGCACAGCATGCCAGAATTTCCCAATCCTCATCATGTAACTCCAGCAAAAATTGTGAGGATTAAGCTGATCTTGCGTCACATCCCGATCATGGGCCCCTGCGCATCCGTTGCTGCAGTCTGCCAGCGTAACTGGCAGCACGGCCGCCAGAATCCGCAGGGCGCGTTGCCTTTTGCTAGCTCTTCGGTTGCTATGGATGCAATGAGCTGACTGCGCGCCATTCACGTGTAGGACAAGTCTCCCTCAACAGGATTCTACAAATGCCGCAGCTTTTCAGGACTCCCGTTCTACTTTCCTTCCTGACTTCCCTCCTTCGTTCCTTTCATGCTCCTCTCTTGCTTCCGTTCTTTTCCCTCCGTCTGCTACAAGCTTATCAGGTTTTTAACCCCTTCAAAGTTGGTGTTCGCTCCTGGGCTGGCTTTTCGAACAACATGACTCGGGACATTTGCTATGCGCCAATGAAACAAGAAGGACAACGGAACAAGGCCTGAACTCAAGTGCAATAAGTACTCGATCAAAGAGAGCGATGTCCATGGAAACCACACACCATACGCACCCTCTGGCATATTGCGTATCCAAATCAAACGCTCCCTGTGCCCAGCCAACCCGTTCAAACGCACAATCGACCAACACACGGACAGTAGTGCTTCGACTGTCACTGCATGAGCTATCTCTTCCATATCTTACTGATAATGAGAAGTCCTGCGCTGGCTAGAGAATTGAAAGTTGGGAATGGAAGAAATCGATGCAAAAAAACACATCTATCTCAGGGCTTCCTGCTGCAAAGCCACATGACCAAGCTCTGCCCTGCTGAGCGTTAAAGCGGTGCGGTTGAGCCCTCTAAGCTGCGCATGTCAGCAACCAACATGAAAGGCAGTAGCCAGAGCCGTCATGATACCACAAACTGTACTTCCAGCGTGGTCGTAGCTGCGGGGCCGGTGATGCCACAGGAGCGACACCAGAGGAGGTGGAGGAGGTGGAGGAGGAGATAAATGTGACGAAATTGACCGGTAATTGGGCAAAAGGCTTGTTTCAGCCTTCCCTCTTCCCTCTGGGTTTTGAGCCTACTAATAAGTAGTGTTCGCAACACATTTGTAACCTCCCAAATTGCAGATGCAAGTTCCAGAACTCATGTAAGTAGCAACTTCGCTATTGTGAAAAAAGAAGAGCTCGTAGTCAAGAACCAGTAGGGCCATCGTCATCAGCCTGTGACCGCGGCCCTTCACAGCCGCAGGGGAGTTGCACCTATAGCAAACATAAAGGAAGCCGCCCGCCCTTCCCCAGTCTGGCATTCTGGCGTATCTCTTGTAGTACGGTGTTCTTTGGCCGCAGGGCCTCGGCAGATACGTGGCATTTGGAATTCAATCTCCCACAAAAACCAATTCAGAGAACGAATTGCAGTATCCTGGCTGCTCTTGATCGCGAATCCTCATATTGACCTCTATCGCAAATGATGCAATCCGGGAGTGGCAAGTGGGGGTCAACTTTCCACGCCAACTGACTCGGCTCCCGGGAACCTGACCCAGCGGTATGTCAGATCAGGGCTCAGGCTTTCAAGATAAAACCGCAACCCTAAACACTAAACTCAACTACAACGTGAATTGGACTAGGGCGCTTTCTGTGACTTCTCAGTTACGGCTGGTTGGAGCTGGGTGTTCGCAACTCGCAATTTCCTTAGAGCCTCGATCACCTAGCTTTTTGCTATTGCCCACTATGTCCCCACTGAGCGCCAGAACGAGAGAATGAAAAATCAGATCTGCAACCTGCAGCCAGCTTTGCCGCACGCTTCTCAGCCCCCCACGAAAGCCTGAGGCGTCAGCAGGCCCATTTCAATACAGAAAAAGCAGTGAATGGCAAAAAGGAACAAGCAAGTGCTAAGCACAAAAGCCGATTTCGCTCCAAACCAACTCTGAAGCGAAATGGCTATTCAAGCGCATGATCCCACACAGGTGTCAGCACAAGACAGTATTGATCAGACGTCTCGAGCGGAGGCTGAATCCTCCCACAAGGACCAGGTATTGCCTAATCCCACAAACATCCAGAAACGTAGGAGGCGCAGGGCGCATTTCCACCTACATCTAATTACCATCCCTTTGGAGCGCCTGTGGACGGGTGCAGTCTATTGTGACACAGAGCTTCATATAGCTCATGTTGTGAGCTCCTCAAGCACTGAACGCTCCTCAGAGACTGGGGCTTATCATGCTAGCGCGCCAAGCCTGATTCAGCTTGCCCACAAGGAGAACCACCCGTCTGGGCTCCTTACCCATGGTGCTCGCAGAAGAAGCGAGTGCGCCTGCTCAGCTGCTGATACATCGGAGAAGAACTTTGCAGGCTACCACGCAGAATCCTTACGCAGCCTGCTATTCTAAAGGCAAGCAACTGAGGGACTACAGAGCACTTACCCAAGCAACCAAACCATGAAACCCAGGTAGCTGTGGAAGCCTTTTCCCACCATGGCTCCTGAAAGCGACCATGTCACAGGGCCTGAACGTGGCGAAAGCCAAAATTTCAAGCAAAACCTGTTGCCCGAATCAAGACCCCTCGAATTGAGCTCCGGAGCTGGAAGATGGCTTTTGTCATAACAAAAAAAAACAGCATGACCTAACCTGTCAGAATCCGCAAATCCGAAAGTCATCTTCCAGAAGAGCTCGCGGACGAGATGCTTGGCGCAAGAACATGGGTCTGGAGCTCTGCCTTGAATGGCTGTGTAGCCTGATGTAGACGTGCACCGGAGGGAAGGTTTCTCAATTCCCGGCTCACTGTCACAGTTTGCCACACTTCTTCTGATAGAAGCACTCATATGCCGGATTGTGAAACCTTTTTCGTGAGTGTGTAGGAGGCTGAATTCGACCGAATGCAGTGTTCGGGGACGCCAGAACATCTGGCCGACGTGCTGTGCTGCATCACTGCCGATACGTGTCCAGGTCTAAGCCGCCGTTTCACGATGCATGTGCCAAAACCACTTTAAAGTCAGATACAGCTAGGTGGTTTGCAGCTCTTGATTCGCGGAACAGCCCAGGCATGGCTAAGCCAATCTCAGCATCCAAGGAGATTCAACTCTCTAACCCAAGGTTCGGTTTCCCCTTTCTGAAAGAACGGCCTCCTGCTCCGTCAAGAATAACCCCTCGATCTCGAATTACTTTCTGGCAGAACGTCGAGTTAATTCAATGATCCTAACACTCTTGAGGAATCCAAACGTGACAGCGGCCAAGATCTGAATCTACACACAGCGCGGGATGCCAAAGCATCGCGAACGTGCGGAGATTCCTGGAGAATGCCGAAAGAGGCTTGCAGCTCTGCAGACAACAGCAAGAAAGCAGCGGCACAGGCTGCAAAAGGTACCCATGCTTAAATGTAAACCTTGGCTCACGTGGCTTCTGTACGTAGCCATGAGACAAGGTGAATAAGTGCCCAGGCTCCAGCCCAGCCGTCGATAGAGAGGGCAGGGAGATGAATGTACCCTCAGAAACGGAAAGGCCAAGCTACTGGAGCTCTTCTGGACAGTGGCTGAGAGAGAGCAGATACATAAGAGGCGCTCAGGTTGCCCTTCACTTTTGGCGTGCTCCAACTCAAGTCCATGGTTCAAAAAGTTCTCAAAGCAAGACTCTTTGGGGTTCTCCAACGGGGTATCCGTACATGCTTGCAGTGTTTTTGAGCCTTGTATTCTGACTGTGACTGATATCTTGAGTCAAAATCCAGGGCTGAAACTGCAGAAGCAAGGCTGGGGATTCCCAGTTGTGTCTTCGCGTGCTCCAGGGGATCGGCTCTATAGTCATCTATTCCATGGGAAGAAGGGTCCTGATGCTGTTTTCAGAAGAGCCAGGACTTGCGAGCAGGATAAGATCCTCTGGACAAAAAGAGCACAATGCAATGCTTGCCATGAAGGTTCTGCAGACTGAAGATTCTGTAAAATCTATGCCAGGCATTCCGCAATGGTCCTGTACCGGCGAAACGCCAAGCTCAAGTTGGATCAGAACTTACTCTGAGGGGAGTGGGCAAAGCCCTTTCAGCACCCCTGCAATGACAAGCCCAGCTCATACATCTGTGGGGTTATATTGGAATGATGGAAAAGAAATGGAAACCCCCAATAATGGAGAATCAAATGGAAAATGAAATGGAAACTGGGATTCCAAGGTCCAGTTCTGCTCCAGAGATCCAACTTGCTCATCCAGGCATTGTTCCCACATGGCATGCGTACAGAATTCACAATCATGCAGCAAGCGCTTGGCTGACAGCCGGCTTGAAGGCACATCAGGGCACTGTCAGACCTGTCATCCTTTTGATGCTGCAGCATCCTCAGCTGCCGCCACGCGCGGTATCACTCATGCGATGCGAGGTGACTGCTGACTGCTCGCCGTTCTGGGTCTTCTCAGTCATGCTGTTCTCCAAGGAGGGGAGGTGGTAAGAAGCCTCGCAAGGACTTGATTGGAAATCAAAATGCATAAGACCCTGAATTAAAGTGAGAGCTGCATGATGACCGAAGGACAGAGAAGCATCTAGAAGCTTAAGCTTCCTTAGAGCAGCAACTGCACAATTACAAGTACCGAGCATGGGCTGCAACAAGCAAGGGCTTAGTGTGCATGGAGACTGCGCTAGGCCACCTCGTATCATGGAAACTGCGCGAGAGCCTACTTGCCCCTTTTCTTTACGAGCCTAAGTGTAACTATTTGAGCACAGCATGCCCCGCCTTCTTCGTGGCCATCAGGTACAGGTCCGGGCATGGCAGACCTTTCTTTCCTGATACAAGCACCATACGTGCTAAAATTGCCAAACCAAGCTGTCAACAGGATGGCTTGTGCCACATGCATCCACTGCGACATATCACAGTGATGCTGCTCGCATCCGTGTTTATACGTTCATACAAGCGATAGCAAACCTAAGTATGAATTCGCATCTCCAAGCCGAAGCCCTGACTGCACATCCTCACCCACGAGCAGTGTACTGTTCCATGCTCTGCCAGGCTGCGGCAGAAGCGGCGGAAGTGATTGGAGAGATCATCCAGAAGGGGCTGGACAAGCCGCAGGGCCTCCTCCCGTACTTCGCGCCTGGGAAGCTGTTGCAACACCACTACCACCATTGCCTGTTATTGCTTCTTCTTCTTCTTCTTCTTCTTGTTTGTAGTGGTGGCCGTGGTGGCAGTGGCGGTGGTCAGCGGGGGTAGTGGTAGTTGTGTGGTAGCATGGACAGCAGCAGTGGAAGAAGAAGAAGAAGAAGCAGAGTGGTTGGCTGTGCACATGCTGCTGTAGATTAAGAGAATCAACAGCAGCTGCAACATGCAGCAAAAGACTTCCCTGCTCCGTTTGCCTGAAGGTGTTATACGCTCCGACAACCATGCTATGCAGGGTCAGGTTCTGCCAAGCATTTGCAACGTGCAGCGCGAAAATGCACTCTAAAACATGCGGTACTTGCAATGCAGAACCAACGTGAAACTCGCAGCGTCTCACACCTGAATGAGAACAAACCTGAAGAGCCATACGACATTCCATATGAAAGGTAAGAGTAGCCCCGGATAGACATACCGACTCTAGCATGCAGCAAGTTGTGAGCGCTCACTTGCGGCATGTGATGTCAGACTCCATAGTCATGACCAAACTAGCCCAGATCAAAACCCACAAGCAGTTCGCCAAAACACCACATGACATGATAGATCATGAAACTGCCTTGGCACCCTAATCTGAAATAAGAGAACCCGAAGTCAATCTGTAACAGGTAGAGCTGAAACTATTTTTCCTCGAACTATCACTGATGCTATCTGCATAGACTACGTTGCGGAAGGGAAGCAATGTCATCCCACATTGCACAAAGCGAATGTCCCCAGTCAATGTATCGACACACTGGCACGGTAAGTGAGGGGAGGTTTTAAGTTTGACGCCGCTGCTTAGGGAGTACTGGCATCAAAACAGAAACGTAGCCATTGTCTGCACTCCTACATCCTTGACGTCGAACATCTCGAAGCTTCATCCCTGAGCAGTAACAAGAAGCTCCAAATTGGGCTGGGCACGAGCGGCATGCGACTGCAAGTTGGAGCGTCTCATCCTTCTCAACAATTTGCCCATCGGAAGTACGGACTTCCTTGTAGCCGCTGCCTGCAGCAGGGGGAAATGAGTGGCTCTCCCCTATGAATTAATCTCTGCACTACATTGCACTACCATGAAATGCTGCTGCCAGCATCCCAGGTTTTGAAAGTTGCCGCGGGCAGATTTCTTCATGGGGAGAAGGCAGTCAATGAAGTTCTGCATGAAGACCATGAGAGGAAGTCCTCAGATCCCTCGAAACTAGGAATGCCTGAACCTGAATCACGTCCAAATCCAACATTAGGCCCTAATCATTAGGCTTTATTCGGGCGAAAGCACGCCACGATTGACTTCAAGCTCTCTCCTTTGCAACTGAGCAAGCTGTTGTTCTCTTGGCCTCGCCCGCGTACACGTGCAGCTGCACCGATTTTCTGGATAGGCAGCATGTTGCATCCACGTTTGCCGATCAGGCGCGGCACCAGCTCAAACTCCGCATGCTTGTCCTTATCTGGACGGCCAGGCTCCATTGAAATATTCAACTTGAGGAAAAGCAAGTCTTCAGGACAAAAGCGAAGCCTGAACTTATCAACACTGCACAGCAGAACTTGCAACAGTTCTGCGCCGATGGATAGCCCGAACCTTCAATTTACGTGGGCTGGCTGGAAATGTTTGGAACTGGGGGCAGTTGAGTGTCATGGTCGTAGCCTGAGAAAATGACTGTGAAGGTGAAGTCCAAGGGCTTCCGTCGCACTCCGCGCATGCCGCGTCTCGAAGTGCTCTTCTCCTTGGGTGCCTGGCAAAGCTTGAAGCGACACAGGAACAAGGAACCTGCAAGCTCCCTGTGGGCAGAAATGCACAGAGAATGAACAGGGTCCAGCCTCCTCCAATGTGTCTGCAGGTTGAGGTCCTGGGCTGACAGGCATCGGGATTGGACCTTTCAAGGATGTCCGCGTCGGCGGGCCAGCGTGTGCCATGAGGCTTAGCACGGTCCGGAACTTTGATGCCAGCAATTCCGGTCTTGCGCTGTCCGAAAACGCAAACCGGCCCCGATTCCCCAAGAAGTCATTGCTGGACACCAGGCACCAGGGCAGCGAACACACCTCTTTGACCGCCAGCTGTGGATTGAAGATGCTCTGAAAAGGTAGGTGGGTTGGCAATCCTCAGCTTTTCAAAAACGCATGGAGCCGCGGAAACGTTGCACAGAACAAGCCTGATTGTTGCAACCAGGTGTCCCATATCAGTGTAGAGCTCATCCCGGAATGCCATGGCTTCACAGCAAATGTCTAGCCCCCTACCCATGCGTTGCTGACAGCAGGTGCAAATCGCCTTGAGGCACAGAGTCCACAAGCCAAGCCTGAATCCTGATCAAGGTTGTAGCGATGATGTAGAGACAGGGTTACAAATGGCAGTGTAGCTGGACATGGTCTCTAATTCCGCCTCTAACACCCCCAAGCCTCCTGCTTTCCCAAGCATCCGGAGGAAACCGGAACACGTGGTTCCCTAAAGTGTCCGTTTGCAAATAATGTTCCATGATGGACGCCCCAATATGTCCCGCGCATCGAACAAGTCATCCTGTTCCCACCCTGCAACAGCCTTGCCGTATTGCGTACGAATCGTGCCCATCATCTCCAACCTGGAAACAGGTTTCTTACTTTCACAATCTTCCAAGCTCCACGCTTGTTGCTGGGCAGCGGGCGAGATGGCTACCTCCTCACCCATACGCACCTCAAAGCTCGACAGCCAAACAACAGCACCGGTCCAATACTCAGAGCAGCAACCTGCTGTTGGGACCTGTGGGGCTCGTGGAGAATGTGAAGATCCAGTGCGTACCATGGAGCAACCTTTCAGACTGGCAGGATGCCTGCCAGTGTCGGGCACACGCGCCATGACAGCCCTGCACCCTATCAACAAGTCGTATCATGAAAGTGCTAGACAGGACCAATATGTCAGTGGCCAGAGCAACTGCTGTCCAAAAACGCATGTCCAAAGAGCATGGGATCTCAAAACTGTTCGTTTACAGACACATATCCTCCAAACCTTCTACACTTTACAAGCCTACATGACCACTGGAACGATCCGATAAAATCAAACTAAACCTAACCACTCCATGCAAGTACACAGATATCTCACACGTCTATGCACTTCTCACAGAGGCTCCGACAGCTGCCTCGAGCATCTCCGCATTGCGTGCAGAATCGGAGGAGTCCCAGTCTTAGATTCTCAGTGATTTGGCATGGAAAGCAGGGCTTACTCCGAGATTCTGTAGGCACGAAGATTGGGTTCTGCAGGAAGAGAGGTGGGATATGAAGGGTAGCCGCGTAGCTCCACGCCGTCTGTTGAGGAACACTTTTGCAAAGACGCCTAAAGCTCCCATGTTACTGCAGTTGCTACTGTTGGTACGTTGATTGGTTACCAATGCATCGCTGTTGCTAGGCATTTCGAGTACCGCTTGAAACCGCCAATGATTTTGCGATGGTTGGCCCTCCTCCTGTTGTTACTCTCTGCGCATTGGTCAGGACGAAGTGGAATGCTCGGATCCAGTCAGCGTTGGTTTGGATGCCTGGCAGTTGGGAGCGTTTCGTTGAGTAGCATGTGTACTCCCTGGTAGCAGGCGCCCAAGAGTGAAGTGCCAGTTCTGGGCACCCTTTGGACCAAGTTGCCAAGCGGGCACACATGATCAGCAATATTTGTTGTGCATTGTCGACGACGCACAGTACCAACAAGTAGTAGCGCTATCCTGGTCCTAATACCACTGCACATAGCAGATTTCACAAAGAGTGTGCATGATGGTGCATAGTCGTAGCTGTGGCTTGTGGGAATTGTAGGCCATTGCAGGCCTCAAAGATGGGCAGATCTCAGCCAGTGTATGGAGTGCATGGGGGATGGCAGAACCAAGAGTCGCATCGTATCTCAGGCTTGACGTGCATGTGAGCGCGGAATTCAGTTGTCAGAAGATTCGCTAGGACAGCACATGCGGCCTTCAGTCAGCAGCAAGGACACAAGCAAGAATCTGCCAGTTGTGCTACATGGTATGCAGCGAGATTGGGACCTAGAGATGTAAAGCTGCAACAAAAAGGGAATCTCTGCTCAACGCTACAAGGCCAGCTACGCATCAACAACGCCACATGCGGACAGGCTCCGCGGAAGCTACTCGAACCTTTCTTGTTGCAGCTTTCTTGCTGCCTCTGCTACTGTTGTGTGTTTCCATGATGAACTGAGGGCCTCGTACAAGGAAAACTCTCCGAGGTCTGCGCTGTAGGGCTCTACCTGGCGAGTCTCCTGATGCAGTTAAATGTATGGTATCACCATGGGCCCTTAGCACCACAGGAGCGTGATGCCTGCAACTTCGTGCTATGCTGTTGCCATCCGTCACGACAAGGCGGCAGTCTGTCCTTGAACGTCAGGTCCAACTCGTCATGCAAGCCTTTGGAAGGGACACCCGACAAGCTTCAAGCTCGTGCGAAGACATATGCGTAATTAAGCTACATCCGCACGTAAATCCCAATCTTAACATGTTTCTGATACTGCTAGCGCTGCATTGCTGACTACGCGTCCTACAGGCAACACTCAAACTTACAGTATGACGGACTTTTGCTAGAACGGTATCAAAATGAGGCTGCAGCGTTCTCCAAGGGCGCCCAAGCCTGGTAGGTAGATTGTGTGCTGATTGGCGGTCTGGTTGGGGCAGCTGGGATTTCCGAACGATTCTTAAAGTTTCGGTTGCCTTTGTCCCAGCAGAGATCTGAAGATCTAGAATCTAGAAGCGCTCTAGACGTGTTGTTTACAAGGCTTACCAAAACGTCTGGATGTCGCACAAGGATAGCGATAATTCGTCCTGGCCACAAGAGCCTTTCAAGTGACAAGGAACACCCGGCATCAAAACTTGAGTGACACATGTATCAGTTTCCAAATTCTTGTCCACGCTTCACCCAAATGTTTCTGTAGAAGGGAGGGTATCCCCTCTATGCCCTAGCTGTAGGTGAAGTCAATGCACAGTCCGCAACTTCAGCCACATCAGCCAGGTCAGAATGCGTGAATCATGCAGCGATGCGAGGGGGTCTCATCAGCATCGCAGCCCCCCCTCGTTTCTGCTCTGCGAACGAGCCCGCCAAGGCTGAAAGGCCAAATGTAAAGTAGACGCAACTTCAGACGAGTGCCCACCTTCACAGCCAGATGGAGTAGAGCAGTGTTTTCTCAAGTGGCAAGTGCCAGTGCCAAGCCCGTAAGGCCAAAGCCAAATATTTGCATCCTGAATGCATCCACAAGCCAGAAGCAAGCGCACCAATCTCACAATGCCAACGTAGACGCCGCGAAGCGCGCGCAGCTCAAACGCCCAAACCGTATACTCCTGCGGTCCTGCAAGGGGGTCGCACGATCGATGCGACTAAAGTGCCTAATTGTAGTGAGGGTCGCCTGGACGGCACCTGCCATGGCCCCTGCGCAAGGATGATACTCAACGGCGCGGCTCCAGAATGACAAGCAGAAAACGAGAAGTTATGGGCCTTTTTGAGGGTCTTGTTTCAAGTTGAGGGATTGGGGCCAATTTCCTACTGCAGCTCTGCCAAAAACCCAAAGTCTCTGCCTCGCCTGATAGGACCTTGCTGTGCAGGGCCAAGTCCAAGCCTGCCAGTGACGTCTGAAGTACTGCATCGGTTCGACAAGCTGATGAGTAACATGCGACATCACATTCACAACGCCAGCTCACAAAGGGGTCTGAAAGCCACCTTCCTTTCCAGACTCATGCAGGAGGCGCTGTCCGTCACTTTGCGGCTCAGGCTCCTTCAAGGGATCAGTGTGAAATTGGATTGTGAACTTAGCGAGCCTCAACAGCGCTACGTCACTTGACTCAACCTGGCTGGTCCTCCGCATAGTAGGTGTTCCAATTTCGCATGAGGTCAGCAACAGTCCTGCAACTTCTGCCAGAGACAAAGGCACAGTATGGTCTTGTCACAGATCACAAGCAAAGTGTCTCAACGGACTAAACCAACTATAATCTTTTCCAGACACCCCTCTAAAGTGCGGAGTTGAGGGTTTAAGGTTTGGAACAACCGGCGATAGTCGAAATTGAAGATGTGAGAACCGAGCCCAGTACAAGCTTGGCGGACCGGTTATGGAACCCTTTTCATAGTGAGGACTACCAATTTTGGGTGGTTCCTGTAGCATGCAGCCCCAACACAAAAGCAAGCAGCCTCACAGAGTTGCTGTGCCGCCGATTCTGGTGATGCCGCTGGCGGCCAGCGCGCAGGTTGTCTGGCGAATGGGGTCCAGCAAGCTCAAGCGGATAAATTGGGATAAGTTTTTCCAATGCTGATTAACATGGGGGCCGCCATGCCGGGTACGAGAATGTAGGCAATCATCATGAAGGCAAGTGCCACACGGAAACAAAAAAATATGTTGGACTTGGATGATTGTGGACTCACGTAGGGCAGCCATCCTCTGCACACAGAGTCTTGCGAGAAAACATGTTTCTTGACTCAGATGCCGACTGATAACCACATCCCACAGGCTTCAACCCCTACTTGGAATAGAACATGGTGGGCCACTGTCGGGTCTTTCACGAGCACGTGCTTTTTTGTTATATTACGTGGTGTGGATTTCATCCACTGTAGGACGGAGATTGCAACGTGCACGGCAACCTCGAAAACCCTCCGACTTCACTGCCCAATGATCGTGGATCAGCAGTTGAGGCAAAGGACACAAGTGTCACGTAGGCAAAGCGTCCATTCAAGTTGTATCCGCTCCTTTTTGGCTTGCGATCCGTCTCTAAACACTTCTGGGCTCATCATCCTTCTC